AACAAAGCGATTTTATATGGAATAGATTTTGTTTTAGGTTAAAATATTAAAAAAAATTTTAAACTATTTCAATTTATTTACATAAGTTTTATATTTTTATTGTATTCAAACAATTTTTTATATTTTAATTTATATTTAACAAAGTGTTTATTTAAAAAATAAATTAATTTATATTAAGATTTTATTAAATATAAATTAAATATTAAATATTAATTTAAATAAAATAATAAATTTCAAAAGTCTTTTTTTTTATTATTTTAACATTTGTTTTATTTCGATTTTTATGGCCAAGCAATTTGAAGCAATGTAAGTGAAGAAAGAAATGCTTTACAAAGACGTGTTATAGACAAAAATAAATCATCAAATCAATCGTTTAAGAATGACATTTCATGGGAAATTAACGAAATGGAAACTTCCATCAATCATGCATGGATGGTAGAAAAATTATGATTTGTGAAAGTCCATAATCTAATTATTTTGCACAAATTCTTAATTCCCAATGATACTATACTACTTGATTAAGTTAGAAAATAATTCCAACAAAAAGAGGTAGGTGCAAACCAATTAAAATTTGGGTTTAATTTTTAAATAGTTAATACCATGAATGATCTTTAAATTATAATCAAATATTTAATGTGATACTTGAATTTAAAAAAATTTATATTGTGATATTTTAATTATGAGTTTTTTAATTAATATGATACTCACTTTTAATATAATTAGTTTCAAATAATGACATGCGACATATAAATATTTTTTAAATATTAAATTAATTAACAAAATTATAATTCAAATAATATATTAAAAAATTTTAAAATTCAAATATCATATTCAATATTTTATTATATTTAAAGACTATTGATGACATTAACTTATTCTAATTAAAGTAAAGCCGCATCTTGTGTGAATTTGTCATCACTATAATTGGATATGGGTTTGAGAAAAAAAAAGGCTAAAGCTGAAACTCGAATAGGGCAAAGGCCGAATGGGGCCATGCCACGTTTAAACAAGCAAAAAGAGAAGAAAAATGAAAACCAATTACTGTCAAAGGAAGTGTAAAGTTTTTGAGAATCTTACAATAGAGAGCAGGGGAGTGGGATCCAAATGAAGCTATTGTCAAAAGGAAGAGAGGCTAAAGATGAAGAGAGAGGGGGTGGGGTGGGGGCTGAGCTTCAATGTTTGACAGTTTGTGTGGGAGATGTTGTGCTTTTGAAGCTTCAGTTGGGGGGTGGGGGCGGGGGAGGGGGGATTTTTTTCATTTTTGGATGAGCTTTTTTTGTGGCATGAATCCGCGTGTTGCAGATGGGATCTCAAATATGGAACACTGACATTGATTTCAGGATGTTGGGAACTATCTCAGCTTTCATTTCTGTCTGGATATCAGTATACTGCTGCAATATGCATAAGCAAGAAAAGGCCAAATGTATGCAGTTTTTTGCCTTTTCCCCATCTAAAACATAGTTCTATGTATATGAATTATAAAGGGCTTATTTTACAAATAAATAATATACTTTTTTCTTACATCTATATTTGCTTTTATAAGATTTCTTTTACTCAACATAAGGTGAGGGAGTCCATTAACTTTATTTTACTAACAAACAGTACAGAGTTTAAATGCTATAATTTCTGGATTATTTCAATTGATTTATCAGTTTTGTACATCTTTTATCATTTCACCAGAAGAGAAGAACTCCTTAGAATAATTGGTGTTGTTGATTTTATATCTTTAAAATTTCAATATTCAAACAAGTCAATCAAGAAAAAAGTTCTATTTCAGACAAACAAGATCCATAAAATGAGTTTCAACATGCTGTTTACACCGTGCCTTTAACTTGCGATTCTATCATGTATCTCTGCTTTTCTCCTTTTCTTTATCCACACTGTCTTTTGTAAAATTAATCCTGGAAGATTCTCCTTGTGGTCCATCTCTTTGGTTTAAATTTTTAATCTCAGGTCCACCCAAGTGCCAGGGATTTCATGTGGTAAACAAATAAATCTCAGGGCTATATTAGTAAAAAAAAATAATTATTGGCTACATTAAGTAGGATTAATTAGACATAAAATCGAAGCAACCCATATCTACAAGAGACCTGTGGCGAAAACAACTTGCTTCAGCCCCAAGGCTGGAGATGGTTTCCGAAAGTTTTTCAGTCACAGCCTTCATATTCTTACATGTAATGGGATTTGTTAGGTTCCTTTGATTTCGGTGTTATGCAATTGCAACCTTCGAGCTGTGTCTCCATCTTCTCAATATCCTGAACGGTTTTGCATCGTTCTTCCTTCAGGGTGAAATGAGACTTGGCTTGTTGCATTGTCTGGCTAAGCTCTTCTAGTCTCTTATGGAGCCTGTCAACTTCCAATCCAACCGATTCAATATCATGAATGTATGTAAGCATGGATTTGATGGAAAGAAATAAGTAAATTTTGTTAGAAATGGCAAAGAGCATCGGATCAATTATCGGCATATCATTGAAATTGATATTTAGAAATTACAAATTTAAAAAAAATTACCTAAGTAATGCTCTATTTCCCTAAATAAATATAAAAATAAGAGAATTCAATGGTAAATTAGAAATTAAAAAAAAATCATCTATCTTTCAAATATACATGGCAATCATATAAAAACACATGGGGATACTTTCATTTGATACTATGGAAATCCTTGCCGAATGAACCCTTTAATCAACAAATCAACTTAAGGTTGTTAAAGAAAAATTAATATTTTAATATTCTTGTTTAAAATGTTGAAATTTCCTTTTCTTCAAATTTAAAAAGTTCTTATCTTCTATTTTTTTTTGGATCTTCTACTTGATGACATTAATTGTGAAGTTATAATGGCCATGAAAATAATCTAATTAGACGACCATATATACACACATTTATAAAAGGAATAGATGGCAATGGATTTGATTGATAAAGCAACACTTTTAATGTGCATTAGAGTTTGATGGATTGTCTTAAAATGTTTTAAAACCTAGGGGCTTGCAATGTAAAATACTTAGTATTTTCTATTTTCAATTTTATCATGTAGATTGAAATGATCCATCTACATTTTGTGCAAATCAAACAACTTTAGAAAATTTGTGAGTTTGAGGAGATTTATGAAATTATAAGTATAAAAAAATTATAATTATAATTAAATATTATATTTATATTAAAAAATTATTGAATAATCAAATTAATTAATCAATCAATATAAAATTGAACCACATTTATATATTATAAAACTTAAACCTAAGATTTTAGAATTCTTGAATCTTCTCTTTGCAACTAAATTAAGACATCATTCCCAATTTGAGAAAATTTAGACATGCAATATTTTTTAAAGTGAATTAAATAAATAACAATTAAGGATAAAAGATAAATTAAAAAATAAAAAAAACTATAATAAAACTTAATAAGGGCATATCATTGCTTAAATTAAAAATTAAAAAAAAAACTATAGTAGAACTTAATAAGGGCATATCATTACTTATCCATTTTTACCCTTCTTCTTCTCCTCTTAACATTCAAGATAATTATTAAACTAATTAAATTAATATATGTCATTTCTCCATTTCCCAATATCCTATCCCACTCTTATGACTCGAGTATAATTCAAGCGATAATAATATAAACTTTTTTTTCATAAGTAAAATTTAAAAAATATTATATCTGAACATTTAGTTTAATAATAAATATTTATATATTTAGGCTATGTTTGGTAACCGACAATCAAATTTCAAAAAATAAAACTTTTTTTTTGAAAATGTTTTTTGGAAAAAAAATAATTTTCAGGTGTTTGAATAGTTACAAAAAAAATGTTTTCTGATGCTTATTTCAACTGAAAATACAAATATTTTCTTCACTATTCATGTTCTCTTTCCTTTGATCCTTTCTTCTATACTTTTCTTTTAACTTAAAACACACTTATTTTAAATTTATAAAAAATATTTTTAAACCTTTGATTTAGTGGTTAAAGACATTTGAATAAATATAAAAAATTTGATTTCGAATCAGATTTTTTTTTTTTTTGTACTAATACTTTACTCTTTTAATATAATAAAAAAATATATAAAAAATTAAATAAAATAAGCACAAAAAAAAATTTTAGAATAAGAGGGATTTTTTTGGGTTTTGACCTAGATTAGCTTGAGATTAAAGCTTGATGAGGGAGATGAAGGAAGAGTTGTTGGTTGCAAATATGCAATTGAAGTTTTAAAAGCAGAGCATTCTAGGTGGGTATATTATATTCGAAGGAAATGAAAAACAAATAAAAAGTTTAGAAAGAGAGATTTGGATTTAAAGGACAACAAAATTAAGAAGGGTCGGCGGTTATTTGGTGGTTGCAGACCATGGTCACCGAAGTTTTAGTTTGTTGGATTTGTGAAGGTTGTTGGTTGTATGTTAATAGTAAGAGTATAAATGATATATTAATATTTGTAAATTATTTAAATTTAATTTAAATAAAATTTAAATTTGATTTAATTATTATTAAGTTAAATTTGAGTTTGAATAATTTGATTCATCAATCGAATTAAATTTAAATTTTTTTATAATTGATTCAAGTAATTTATGAAATTAATCAAATTTTTATATTTAAATATATTTTTATTATTTTAATAAATAAAATATATTAAATTTAAATTCAAATTTAAATATAAATAATTAAGTTTTTATTAAATATAAAAATTAAATTTATTTTTACATATTGATAGAATCTAATTAAATAAATTTAAATAATTTAATTTTTATATCAAATTAAAAAAATAAAACTTAATTAAATTTAAACTAAATTTTAAATCTCAAATTTTAAATCAAGTTTGATCTTAATTTTATATCAATTTTAAGTTAATCATTTATAGTCTTAATTGTAGGAGATGAGCTGGTGAGACCGTGAGACAGAAAGAGAAGAGTTGCTCAGGAAATTACCTTTCGGACTCAAGAAGCAAAGGACAAATTCCATCAATTGAGTATTATTATGCTTTGATCAGAAAATTATTTTTTGTTGACTTTATGTTTTTGAATTTGTCATATATTGGAAAACGTAAAAAATAATTTTCAGAAATAATTTTACATTGAAACGAAAGGACGCTTAACTCATCTATCTTCTTTTAATTATAAAAATAAAAAATTCAGAAAATTATTAAAGATCGATTTTTTTATATTAAAAAATAGAAATTCGAATCTCGCATTTCCGCTGAGCCCAATGGTCGATTCCATGATCAATTTCTCTTTTTAATTTTTTTGGGTATTGATTATTCAAGCGTTAATACATGACGACATTGAATTAACAGTTTCTAACACATGAATCATCTTTGCTTCTTTTACCCTTTCCGGTGATTTTACCCTCACTTTGGGTCTTTTCTCGAATTTCACTGGATACAAGGCCAAACGCAAACGTCCCACTGTCATCATTTCTCCAACCGCGAAATCAGTCAAACCAAAAGGTTAAGGGTCCAAAACTAAACCAACGCTCACCCGCGACAACCCCACCGCGAACGTACCCCGCACGACGCCTCGCGCGCAATACAAACAACCACCGTGACCCAAATCGGCAAAATTTTGCATTAGACAAACAAAACCGGAGAAACATATTTTTGAAGAGAAAAGGCAAAGAGAGATGTGGGTATTTTACCTGATCTCGTTGCCTTTAACCCTAGGCATGGTTATTTTCACCTTGAGGTACTTCGCTGGTCCCGATGTCCCTCGTTACGTCCTCTTCACCGTCGGATACGCTTGGTTCTGTTCTCTCTCCATCATCATCCTCGTCCCTGCCGATATCTGGACGGTAATGTTCTTTTTTTTTTTTTACAAATTCCATTTTAAATTGTTTTATTTAATTGATTCGTCTTTTTTTTTTTTTGTGTAAATTAGGGCTAACCGAATTGGAAAATTTTATGTTAAATTCTGTGCAGACGATATCGAAGCCGGAAAATGCTAATGAAAATAGAGGAATTTCGTTCTTTTGGAGCTGGTCTTATTGGGGTACCTTTCTCCTTACCTGGTTCGTTTCTTTCTTTATTGAATCTTGCACCGGTTTATTTACAGTTCGTTAGATGGGTTTGCCACTTTCTCTTATTGGTGGATGTCTATTTGTGGAACTAAAATTCATTGGGATATTCCAATTTACAGTATTCTATAATAATTTTTTTTACTGCTACATTTGATTCAATTTTCTATAAATTGAAAATTTCCTTTTTTTGGGATGGATATATGTTGTTAAAATTTAAGATTTGCCTCTTGTTCTCCCCCTGAATGTTTAAAAGCGAAGGTTGAAAAGTGGCACATTGTATTCATATTTTAGTTATTTTTCTACAATTTTGTCGTGTGGGCGTGAAATGACACTGGTTTATGTTTGTACTTACTCTTTTGTTGTATTTTTTTGTGTGTTACATTTGTGGAGATGATTTTCTTGCCAGTGCAGATGATTCTTCTAGATGGTTTTGCCGATTGTAATGCATTTCCTCATATAGTTAAATTATGTTATTTCTAAGCAGGGCTGTGGTGCCCCTTATTCAGGGTTTTGAAGACGCTGGAGACTTCTCTGTGACTGAAAGATTGAAGACTAGCGTGCACGTCAACATAGTCTTCTATTCAATCGTGGGTTCTATTGGCCTTGGGGGACTTATTCTCCTCATCACAATGAACAAGAACTGGTTCACTTTTCTTTCTTTATACACTGTTGATTTTCTTTGGTTTTATTATAGTCTTTCTGATATGATATTGGTTGTCATATAAAAAGGTTAGGATTGTATTGGAAGTTGTTTCAAGTTATTGTATTGTCTCTTAATACTCTGGCAGTCTGGCATCTGTTGCGTCACTGTTCATATCCTATGTGCTCAATTTGCTTTTTTGGACCAGATATGTTACATGCAAATGTTTTCCAATTGATAGATTCTAAAATCTATATAAAAATGGACATGGAAGACTTTTCCCTCGTCAGTTGAAAATTTTTTCTTATTTCTTGGTACTTGGTAACTTTTTGTTGACAGGAGTGATGGCATCCTTGGTTTAGCTATGGCTTTGTCGAATACGTTTGGGCTTGTTACTGGTGCATTTCTTCTTGGCTTCGGCTTGAGTGAAATTCCAAAGAGCCTTTGGAAAAATGCAGATTGGACCATCCGCCAAAAAGTTCTCTCTCATAAAATTGCCAAAATGGCTGTGAAGCTTGATGAAGCTCATAAGGAACTTTCTAATGCTATTGTGGTATTTGCTATCCCCATTCTAGTTTTAAAATTGTTTTTCCCTTCTGTCCACCCTCCTCCACCAAAATAGTTGTATGTGTATATATAAATGTGCATCTTAGTACAATAATGTATGGTTTTAATAGATGTGCATATGCATGTCATTATCTCTTTGTCATTCACTCACACATGCATGCAGCCACGCACACTCACACATGCATGCAGCCGCGTGCACTCACACATTTGCTTACATTTTTGCATTTTTGGAAGTAAAATATTCTGAAGTTTCCATGTGCTATTAGCAATCAGTTTATCAGCAATTTACCAGTTTCTCTCTTTTTACCCTCTGAGGCTAAACATTCTTTGATAATTGTTATGTTAAACATTGTGGTTTGTTTTGTCTAATGGATCATTTGCTTCATCAGATTGCCCAAGCAACATCCAATCAGATGTCTAAGCGGGATCCTTTGAGACCATACATGGATGTTATTGATAATATGTTAGCTCAAATGGTATTTTCTTTGTGTTTATTTGAAAACTTTTCTATGAATGAGGTTCACTTTTTTTTTTTTGTTTGGAATATTGCATGTGACTTCCATGCTTCATTTATTCTCCAGTTTAGGGAAGACCCATCCTTTAAGCCACAAGGTGGTAGGTTGGGAGAAAATGATATGGACTACGATTCAGATGAGAAATCTATGGCAACACTCAGGCGCCATCTTCGGCTAGCTCGAGAGGAATATTATCGGTATAAAAGGTATACTAGATGTTGATTTTACACTTTCAGTTTGTATTAACCCAGAACGTTTAATAAAATCCAGGTTGTACACCATCTTCAAGCTGTTTAAAATGTGCTTGAAAAATGATTATTATAATCCTTTATTTTTAATTTATTTGATGTCTTTTGGGAGTAGCTTATGTTCTTCATTCCTAGATTTTATAGGGTGCATAGAAACTTTCAATCTAACAGTGTGTTTGGAATATTAGCATTTTTGCATCTGACTCATGGTTGTTTCACAGTGAGTACATGACCTATGTCTCAGAGGCCCTTCATCTTGAAGACACAATAAAAAATTATGAGCGTCGCAGTTCAACTGGATGGTTTTCTTCTAACCTTATTTTCTCTGGCCTATTATATTTTTATGAACGTTCTAGTTGTTTTTCCTCGACCTTAAATGTTCATTTATCATGATATTTCAGGAAATATATTTCAAGTTTTAGACCTAGTCGCTCTGGGAAAACAGGAACACTCTTAGATACAATGGGTAACTTGATCTCTATTGGATTTGTGTTGTAGAAGCAGTATTTTGCCTTGTTTCATGATGCTTTGCTTATGTTTAGTTCCAGGAAGACCCAAAAACTATTATTCTTTTTCTTTTTCCCAATTTCTCTAAAAAGGATTTATTGATGTCATCATTTGAAATCAATACACTAAATTCCCCTCGGCTTTTTTTTTTTTTTTTTTTCTGGTTTCTTAGGAAGGATGTGTCATGCTCAGCTTCTAAATAGTGATATATAACAGTGTTTTGAAAGAAAGCATTGTTTGATGGTTCTTGAATGTATCAATTACTTCTCTAGTGAATATACCCCAATCAACAAAACCAAAAAGCATTTTAGGCTGTTTTAACTCGTTGGTTGCCTTTTCTGCAAGTAAATTCCCAACAAAAAAAGAGAGCTGAGTATCATACTACATTAATTTAAAAAGCAGTCCCTAGAATCCTGTTGTGTCCATCACTTAAGGGCCATGATGGATTAGAAACCTGCTTGGCAAAACAAGCTTAATGAGAGTGATCTGCATAATATTTATAGAGCGGCCAGGTTTTGTCAAAGCTGAAACTAGTATGAAGTACTGAAATGACTACCTTTGAATTTAAACTACAGAGTGCTACACAATTTTTCGGAAAAGTGCAGATGCTTTTAAAATGTGAAGTTCCCTCGAGTCTTAGACTAGCAAAGAGTACTTGAAACTATTATTATCTTGCCACTGTTGGGTACAAACCCCCCCCCCCCAAATTTTTTTTTGAAAGGCTTCTTCATTGCTATTGCTCAGAGGCGAGGGCTTTCTTTATCAAATTTTCTTTTTTCTTTCATTTACATCTAAGTTTTTGGAGTGCTTTTTTTTATTATTCTATTGTTTCCATGAAAAAAATTTTGTTTTCTAATATGTTCTAAACTGCTATGCTTGAACTAAAATGGTGGTTCTTTTGCAGAATTTATTTGGCACTGCATCCTAACGAAACAATTAAAAAAGATCCTGGCTATCATACTTGGTATCATGTCTGCAGCGATTCTTTTAGCTGAGGCTACTCTTTTACCTAGAGGAGTTGACCTGTCTCTTTTCTCTATCCTTATCAATTCAGTAAAGGAGGAGGAGGTGCTTGTGCAGGTAAAAATTTTGTATTTTTCTCCTGCAAAGAGATTCAAATCTTGTAATTTCATATAAATATTTTAATCTTGGTCTTATTTTAAGGAAAAGGTGCTTGTGCATGTCCTGTAAAGATATTTCATAAAGATTCAAGCTAGAAACAGGTCTTGTAAATTGCCAATTTGGCAATCTGTAGTTCTTCTTTCTTGCCTTGTGCATGTTTCCACTTCAGAATTGCTTCCCCGTTGCACGCAGTTGGTCACTACTGCTTTTTATATCATATTTTTTGTTTGATATATCCTCATATAACTTGATTCTTTTCTGCACCATCCTATTCTTGCCCTACTTTTCTGCTGATTAGTTTTTCTTCCAGATCTTTGCTTTTGTACCTTTGATGTATATGTGCATCTGCACATATTATTCCTTGTTCAAGGTTGGAATGTTAATGTTTTACTCATTAACACCACGGCAGACTAGTTCAGTTAGCTTGCTCATGATATGCTCGTAAGTTTTTCCTCAGAGCTCCATTTTTATGTATGTTGGCTTTTTTCCTTTTGGAATTCAATTTACTCATTAACGTCTCTGCTAGGATGGTTGCTCGGTATGCTCCTCCAATTTCATACAACTTTCTCAATCTCATTAGTCTTGGCTGTAGGAAAACCATATTTGAAAAGGTAATTCTCCTATAGCATTCATTGGCTGTTGAACATTTACGTCTGCTGACTCCAGTGCTAGCAGAAACTTGAAAACAAAGATAAGAAAACTGATGTGTAATAGACTAAGTAATTGGAGTGAGGCAGCAATTAAAGCATCTTTTTAATTTGTTTCAAAATGTTAAACCTTTTTGGTTTATAGGGGAAAAGAGAAGTGTTATTGTGTCTAGTTTGATTTACTGGTTTGGTGTCTGTCACTATTAGCCATGCAACAGAAAAATGAAACTTATTTGGCTTCCAGTCACAGAACTTCGTGAGTGGACATTGATTTGGTAATCTTTGGAACTTCTATAAGGAAATCAGAATACTTGCAGCTAACATCCATGTCATTTTAGGAAAGCAGCATTTGATTCCCAGTGTTATTTTTTTCATTGGTTGCAAGTCATTTGTTTTTATGATTGTTATATCATCTAAAATTTGTCTTAACCTCCAGTTCCAAAATTTTGCTATCACAATTTATTGTACTATGTCATATTTGCGCCAATCTTTTATGTTATTTTTTATATTCACTGTGCTCAATTACCAAAGATAATCCTAGGTGCTTTATTATCAAAGTAGGCATGTGTTCTGATTTTCTTTCTTTCCTTTCTTAGTATTTGATACTTTTGTTTTCAACTTCTCATTGCAGCGAATGGGGAACATTGATGATGCTGTCCCATTCTTTGGAGAAGGGTTCAACAATATTTATCCACTTATCATGGTTGTATACGCCTTGTTAGTTGCTAGCGATTTCTTTGATCGTGTAGTTGGTTTCTTTGGGAACTGGAAGAGACTTAGGTTTCAAACTGAGGCAGATGATGTGGATGGATTTGATCCCTCAGGATTAATTATCCTACAAAAGGGTAGGGATGCGAATACTTCAGTCTTTTCTATTGTATATGCTATCTGTTTGGTAATATCTTCTCACTATATAATAGTAGTCATAGTTGAAAATGAACAGTTTAAGAAGCGTATTTGACGTAATCATGATATGACTTTTATTTCTGGATGGCAATTGTGCTTTTTCTGTTTATGCGACACTTTATGATAGAGTCAAGGTTACAATAGGAAAATCAATAATTAATGCTTGTCTAGATCTAGTAATGACAGAATGGAGTATTATTACGAGACAAAGGAGTAGAGCATTGATTTGTGAATTCTGCAAATATCTGCTCTTTATCTAGGTTTAAATATCTGGCTAAGAATTATTTAGACATATGATGAGGATTTAATAAGTTCTCTTTACAGAACGATCTTGGCTCGAACAAGGGTGCAAGGTTGGCGAACGAGTTATCCCATTGGCGAGGAATTTCAATGGTTCTGATGTTGAGTCTGGCAACAATATTGCAGTATGTAACCAATCTGAAAAGCTAGAAGTGGTCTTTTTACATTTTAATGGTGCAACTAATAAAAGTTCCTATGAATTATAGATTCACTACTACTAGTCTGCATTTTTTTTAATCTAAAACCTAGAGTTATGTTCAGTTTCTGACTTGATGCAAACTGCTTAGGACCGAACTGTTGTTGAAATGAAGGCAACAACCACTTCAGTCGTTGATGGTGTCAAGGGATCTCCATCAAGACCTTTGAAAGAAGAGAACCATAAATATGGCACAAGCAGAGAAGCCATCAGCAACAAGTATGCTGCCATGAGAGAACAGAGCCGGCAAGTTTCGAATCCAAAACCGGTGGAGAATAACATAACCTCTGCTAACGTCTCATTGCTTGAAGCTGGCAACGCTCATTCTAGTAACCAGAAGGGAGGGCCATCCTCTGGATTGGCCTCAAAATGGCGATCAATGAAATCTGGTTTTCAAAATTTTAAAGCAAATATTGAGGCCAAAACGTTTCTTCCCCTACGCCAGAATCAGGAAACCAAACTTGTCTCCCATGTCAATTCATCTGATTCTGAGTCCCTGGATGAGATATTCCAGAGATTGAAACGGCCGTCCATACACCATAGCGATGAGGATGAAAATGAGAACTAGAAGGAAATCAAAATCACGGGTTCTACGAGATAATATTAAATTCATTTGGAGAAATATTCTTGTTGCCGTTATAGAAACTGTGATACGAAATGTACAGATCACATGGCTCATTGAATTCTTGCGGTCCCGCACGCCAGTTAGGAGGCCAGGGAGGATGATTTGCTGCATTGGGACTTCATACTTATGTCAGTAGGAAATTTCGGACAAATATGCAAGAGGGGAAGATAATAATTCCCCATTATTTCAAGAAAAGTGGTTCAGTGTAAGCGAATCTTGTAATTTGAATTGAACGTGTAGGCAGTCAGTCAGCTTATTACAAATGATATTTGTATATCCTGATAGAATATAAAAGCATATCTATTTTGAAGACAATTCTGGCGTCTAAAAGATTCAAGTTTTTGCATGCGTGTGATGATAGACTCTTAAGTTTTTCTTCTTTCAACAACTTTTTCAAAGTATCATTAGCATATCGGACGTGTGTAGCCCATCTGATAAAAGGCCCGATGTGACAGAAGTGTAGACGAAAGGGTTAGATTTGTTAATTTAAAATACAATGCATTAAAAAAACATAAAAATAATATAATTTAAATTTTAAATGATATATCATTTTAATATAAAATATAATTCTAATACATGCATCATAAATGTTTTGTAAGAGGTGTATACCAATTTGTCAACCCTACAAAAGATATACAACCCGCTTTTAAATTTTTAGATTGTTTCGAACTTTTCGGCGAAATTGTCTGAGAACATGGTGGAAATTTTGAACCCAATGTTAGAATAAAACAATTTTGTCACTTGGTGAACCGACGGCATAAAAATCATGTTCGTATGATAATTCACGGCTCTTTCTAGTCATATCTTCTAACTTATAGTTATAATTCTACGAAGATGGTGACGTAAATGACCCAAAATCAACGTTCATGATATGCATGAAAAATGGGAAGACATCAGCTTAGGCAAAGATTCAAAGACCTAAACCTAATTGTGTTTCTTCAAGAAGATTAAAGAAGAAAGCATCAACAATCTTAAAACATCCTAATCAAAGGATTCAAACCTGTTAATTGAAACATTCATTCCAATCCCATAGTAGTAACAAAGAAAAAAAGAAGAAGGAAAAACTACGCACAATTTATTGAAATTGAACCCTACCAAACCAAATTCACTCTTTCAATCAATCTCATACTCGTTGAATGTGTCAGAACATCCTTGTTCTTCCCCTTGAAACGAAGCAACTTGGACCAAAACCCTTTTTTCTTCTTCCCATTCTTAACCTCTTCATCATCAAAGTCTCTTGGTACAAAAGCAATGGATCTACTCTTCTTCAAACCATCAGTACCAACCTTTACCATGAAAGATGAGGATCCCATGATTCCCGTCACCCCGGAGCCGTTTCGCCTATGGAAATTATGATGTCGAGCAGGGGAGGCAGGGTTTGAAGACAAAGCCGAAGAGTAGTCAGCAGGAGAAAAAGATAGTGAAGGAGCAACTCTCGAATTAGCTTCTTTGTCTGAAGCGGAACAAAGGCGAGATAAACTTTCTCTTAGACAAGAGGGGCAAACCCCTTGCTTTTCCTGGTGATGTGGGTGATTCTTGCATCCATGGCCTGATTCAGACAACCCCATGTCACAATTTTCTTTTCTTTTTTGGTTAGTTTTCAATTGTTCATGTTTTTCGCTTGCTTGTGTGTGTGTATATATATAGACCACTTGGGAAAAACAAATTCCACTAGGTTCTCTGAAGGTTCTTCGTATGCACCAAGGGCCTTTGCGTTAATGTTGGTGTGATAGTGTAGATCAATGTCAAGTTCATCACCGTTGGATCATAGGAAAGATTATGTAAAGCCCACATGATGTAGATGTAAATGTTCAAAATAGGCCGTGACGTTTGCTTTCTAATCCTCACATTTGCAGTGGGGACAACAAGGGTTTTGAATATTTTCTCACTATTACGATCATAAACTTAATTATCCGTAACCAAACTGGAAAAGGAATAGAAGAAAAAAAACCATTAATACATAACAAAAATGTGTTTTTTGGCATTCACGTGGGACTTGTCTTTGAAATTGATGGGGTTTTTTTATTAAAAAAAATTATTTTAAAATATTTGAATAGGGTTATTATGATTTTGGAAGGGCGTAACACGTGAAAAGAATAAAAGGATCTCGAGCCACGGTCGAGGGTGGAAAGTCGTTTTCAATTATTTAAGTATATGCTTTGAAATGGGAGTTAAGTGATTTTTATAATTAATTTTAAAATTATAAATTATAAATTTTAATTCCTATAATTTTTTATACCTACTGTATCCTAAATGCACTGAGAGAGAAGCTATGTTAAGTTTTTTTTTTTTTAGAGCCATCTAAGTGTCTAACCGAGTGTTTTTTAAGACACGCACACAATACCAGACGGAGTTAGATATAGATTTTGTAAAATCAAGAATCAACGTTAACGTGTCAAGTCAATTATGACACAAAAATAATTATTTTACTTGATTTAATCAGCCCAATTAGTATATGATCTATTTATATTTACACATTTAATTAATTATACTTAAAAATTTAATATTCCACATTACTCCATTGTCAGCATATCTAATTCATTTGAATTTATTTATTAATTATTAAAATTTAAAAATTGTAAAATATATAACTATTATATATGTTTAAACATATTAATTAATTTAAATTAATTAATATGTTTAAACATATATAATAGTTATATATTTTACAATTTTTTTGTATTTAAATTTGATCAATATGCTTGTCATCTGAATTAATATTTAATTAATTTATATCTAAATATGTTAGTAGTATTTAAACATTTAAATGTGTTAAGAATGTCATATAATATAGTAAATTAATGTGATAAATATCTTAAGTTGGTATTAAAATATTTTTTTTACTCTCACCTTTACTCTACGCCCCCTGATTAGACGACTTGTTAATAGCACTTGCCAGCCACTAAATTGTTGCGGCTTAATAGAATCTTACGCACATGAGGTGTACCAACCCCGATGATTATCATCGTCTTCCGTATATGTGTCAAGTCTTTGCAGTTTGTACTAGAAAAAAGTTGGTACAGAGTTTTTGAGAGAAAGGAGATGAATCTATCAACTCTACTTTTGTCTTTGATTTCGGCTGGACAACTTGCGCGCATTCAATTTCTGATCACATTCATCGTTCAAATTAGGAACAAGAAAATTGAAAATATCCAATAAAATTAAATAAGTTGAAGGAGTGTTTTCCTTTGCCAAGTAATTGAAATCCACAGCACTCATTTATGATGGCTCGTAGCTCAATAATTCTTCGCAATGATCAGTGCAAACATGAGGCTTTCTTTTTGTCTTTGATCAATGTAGAAAGAGTAATAGAGGAATATTAGTTGTTATATTGTATAAATAATATTATAGATTTTGCATAGGAATGTGTTAAATGATCTAAGTAGACAAAGAGACATATCCATGTTCATGACCAAACTTCTAGCTCTTTTGAGCTTTTGCCACTGGCCGGGGGGGTGTATGCTCCCTGGTTTTCTCCTAATCTTTCCTTTATTTCATTTCAACCGCCACACATTCACAATAAGGTTCAACGACAAATTGTTGGATGAATATGTTCAAAATTAGAAGTTAAATCCCAAACCTCAAGAAAACAATGTTCTTTCTGAATCAGCTTTTTCAAATTCGATAAAAACTTCTAGTCTTTCAGAACCGTGTTTCCTGGCTGTAATATTTTAATGGTACTAATTTATTAGGAATGGAGAGACAAAGGACTGTTGTATCAGCTTTTCTGTCTTCCCTTACTCTTACACTTGGGCTTGGGTTCGGCCTTGTCTGGTTGGGCCAGATTTCATTTGCGAAGAAAGGATTTTGTCTGTTTATTCTTTTTCATGATGGCCAGAGCTGAATTTGCTTGTTATGTTTTGAAGAAAAGAAATTAGAGATTGATAACTTTTGGTTTTATATTACCTCAGTAAATTTTGGCGGCTAACAGGATTACTGATTGCTAGAAAGGGAATTGATACTTTTTATTTTATGGGCTTTTCTGCAATTTAGCTCTAATAGGCCAGCCCTTGGTATTTGTCTTTTTTCCCGCTATTTAGTTAACGAAACATTCAGCTTCACCATCGCTTTTTTTTTTTTTTTTTTTTTATATTTAACCACATAGCGTGGTTTAAATGTTTTTTTATACTTTTATTGGCACCATTTCCCCTAAAGTTCAGGACAGATAATGGAAATCATTCCATTATTGAATGATGACCCTTGACATTTTTGGATCATTATCCTTCACCTCTGCTCGAACATACAATTTTCTGTAATTAACGTAACTCGAATTGATATAGGAAAAAATTTAAACTTGATTTAAAATTTATTATTTGATATTTGATTCAAAGTCAATTGAGTTTTAATTTTTAAATTTTATTTGAAATAAAAATTAAATTACTTGAACTTATTCAATTAAATTTATTAATCGAATGAAAAAAATTTGATTTTCATTATTGATTTCAAACTTGATTATTTATATTTAAATTCGACTTTGAACTCAATTTATTATATCTAAGGGTAAAATAATAATTTTTAATTAAAATAATTAAAATATAAAAATTCAATTAAATTCGTGAACTACTTGAATCGAATATTAGGATATTCAAATTCGGTTCACTTGATAAATTGAGTTGCTCCGTTAAACAATGATCGAGCCGAATTCAAATTTTATTTAAACAAAACTCGAGTAGCTTATAAATACTAATATATCATTTTTACCCATAGTTTCAATGCACGATTTTATTCATAGAGCATGCTAAATCCTTTTTTCTAAAATAAAAAAAGTCTATGGTTCACGTCTACGAACTTTTTTTTTTAACTACTATTTTCCAATGATTCATTGTTAATGTTATGCATCAATTGTTAACGGTCGCTATTTCATATTGTTAGATCATAAGTTTTATTTTGAATTTATGATCGAAAGCAAATCTTTATTGAATCTAGGAGTTAAGTCATTTAATTGATATAATCACGATTAAAAGATGTTATATAATAAATTTAAAATTTAAATTCAACACATATAATTTTTTTTATTTTAAGCTACGACTTAGTGCATATCTCTATCCATAATACATTAAGCTTTGCTTAAAGTCAAACATCTCTTCATTTTATCCTAAAAAGTCAAAATTAATTTTACAAACATGACAAAACTGTTGGACTAGGATGACTCTTAGGGGTCTTGCATATTAATTACTCTCGCTTTCTTGTTCCCTCGATCGTTATCTTATAATATAGTTTATATTTGCAGTCTCTAATGGAACGATAGCGCCATTTTGTTTCTTTGATGAAGGTTGAGATTGTTCTATTTCATTTGGAGTACATCTTAGCTGATTAATTATGTACCCTTTGGCTTTGCAAAAAATATATTACAGAAGTTTATTTTGACCTATAAAAGAGCAAGAATTTTCACTATAAATAACAAAGAATCTTGCTCTAGTTCAAATTTATGTAAATGTCCATGAGTTTTTTAGCTGATTTTAGCATTATTTCTAATTCCACTTACTGAATTTCGTATCTAGCTAAAGCAAACAAAAATGACTACATTCAAGTTTTTAACCTTTGTGTTTATGACGAGCTCTCATTTCAGGGTACTTTTGGAAAAACAAAAGAGAAGGATGATTATAGGCAAAGGCAAAAGAGTTCTTTGTGTTTGTATTTCGATTCGTAAGTTAGAATAGATGAGGTCAGAATAAGAGTAGTAAAGAGAATGAGGAGTAGAATGAACTTATCTTAATGGTGTATGGACTTTCATATTTATAGATAAGCAATTGGGGACCATTAGAGGATAATAGGGACAGTGTCGAACATCATGGCACTAAGTGTGTTAGATTGACCTGACATGTCAAGTTGGCACAAATATCGAAATTATCCATGGTTATTTACTGAAGGCTTCTAACATGAAAAAAACCACTACACTTTTTTGACCACTAAATGCTCCCAACATTCTGTCCCCCCATCAAGTAGTCTGAGTATTGACTACTGGGTATATGATCGATGCACCTTGTGTAAAGCAGATAAGTAAAATGAGATGGAGTGAAATTTGATTCTTTAAAGTCGTGTCCTAGTGGAGGTCAAAATTGGGAAGCAAGTAGCTTTGAGTCATAGTTTGACCTTGTGGGAGTCTGATCTTGTGCGTATATATTGGGTTGAGTGCATAGTTGGCTTAAAGGTTGTCAATGTGTTAATTATTCGAGATGATCCAAGATTAGTGTTGGAGTTTGTCTGGTTAACGTGGGACTTGTATTTGTTTCAAGAGTTTGGATTCGAGTCTATACTTTGAACTCTGAGGATGAATTAAGCATATGATCTGTCGTAAGGAGTCATCCGATCTGATCGATTTGATTTGGGGTTCATTTTGTTTAGCCAGTTCAATTTAGAGTCCATCAGGTTTAGCCAGTTTGGTGGCATTAAATAAGGAGAGAGGCAGTTTGAGTTGAAAAATTTAAAGAAGGAAGATGAAAAAACATCTTCCCATCTTCGCTCTGACATATGGTGTAGTTTATGTCATTCATCTGATCTGTAACACAGTCATATAAAAAGCTATTGAGGCTTTCATTTTTCACTTTTTTACTTTATTTGCTCTTAG